GAGTGTTCACAAGTTTAGCTCTTTCTAAGAATTCAATACCCTACCATGGGCACCAACCATTTATTAAAGTATGTATGAATATGACACCATTCAGATTTGAGGAAATCTAGCAAAATTCTATGTGTATGATGTATACCACGCAAGAGGGATTGAATCCTGACCAAAGATTTAATACCCGCTAAAGTGTCCTTTTTCAAGAAGAAAGCCCTGAAGAAAAAAAAAAAATTGTATGATATTAATAAGCTCATAGTGAGTCCCATATGTCAAAATCACACAATAGTGTTGTCAGCTTTGTTCAAAGAAATGTGAAATGCAGAGGGCCTGTCAGACAGGAGAGGATTGTTTGCCCACGCATTTAACCCATACATTTCCCATATCTCTCTATCAATCAAACGCCAAAGCTGTGGTGGGACAAAGGCCAATTTAATTCAAGTTTGAAATTTATATTCACATTTGACTAAGTGGGATTATATTCATACACACGTATATATGTGAGACAATGACTGTTGGACTTGGTTTCTACTAGCAAAGAGGAAGCCTAAGAAAGCAAAGAGCATCAGAGGCCTATAGAGCAGAAACAAAAGCATGGAAACAAGAGCAGGTTTGCAATTTTGCAGAGAGGCTTAATAAGTTAATTTCCCTTTTCTCTCTACATCTGCATTGACCAATGCCCACGATTGCACCAAACAGCTTATTCATTGCTAGGGACAATAAGAGTAATAAAGTTAAAACATGTGTTGTTCTATATGGTTTTTGAGTGTCTTTACTTCATGGCACAAGAATCCCCTTTGAAATTCGATTTCTCATTCCTGTAAGTCACGAGTTGATATGTTTGCAAAAATAACTCATTATAAACGAAAGGAAATTCTATATGTATGTCAAACTGTGATGGGCAGGCAAGTGGAAATGGCTACTTCCAAAGCAAAGAGCCAAGTGGTCAAGCCATCTATTTGAAATGTTAATGTTTGCAGAATGGAAGGTTAGTTCGGTAAGAGTGGCTGCAGATAAGGTTTTATATATATTGAATAATTTGTCCATGGTCTATGTCGTTGTCTTTCGGCAATTCATGTTAGGAAAAAGGAAAACACAGGGGTCTGTCATCTCACTATCTCCCCAAAGAGTACATATGCTTATTCCATCATTTAATTCCATGAGAAAGATAAGAGATTTAGCTTCCAAATAGCAAATTTAACTTCTTCTTTTTTCCCTTATAAGCTTAACTTTGTACTGTTGCAGTGATGATCACTTTGTAATGTCTCATGGGATCATGGATAAGCAAAAGTAACTTTTCCTCAGATATCTTTTATCTTATTGTGTTTGAAATTCATGCTCTTTCTTTTTAAAGTATTGTACTTGATGGGAAAGTTTGCCATTAATTCTGTCTTCTAAATGATCTTATGCATTCAAAGCCAATAAATTTTTTAGGTTAATTTATTCATTCTTGGAAATTTAGCCAGGGAGAGGAGGGGACATCAGAAAAGGCATTCTGAAACCATGAGTTGAATCAGAGACGTGTAGAAAGTTAGAAAACCATGTGAAAGAAGAGCAAGCAAACTGTGAATTATATACTGTCCTACATGGTGGCACTTACCAAAACCCATCACCAAACATTCACCATTTTCATGCTTGTTTGTTTGGACGATTTGTCCACACCTGATTTGCCTTTGGAATCTACAGGTTTCGTTGATTATAGGGGAGGGTCCAGTGGCCAGCCAATTTTGATCAGATTCAGTAAGCCAAGACAATCCCATCCCATCCCATCCTTTTGTTGCCAGAAGAGTCACAGGTTAACGGCTTGGGATGTTTCATCACAGCAGCTTTGATTAGATGCTAAACAGTAACCAGGCAATCTCTCATTAATCTCATCATAGACCAAATGGCAAATGCCTTCCTCTCTCATCCCCAGGAGAAAATACTTAGTTACAACAGGGATAGTACTAATAATGTCATATCACGTGAAAGTGTTATCACGCGTATTATAACGTTATTAATCGGGGATAGCATACTGTTTCATGGAAGTCTTTCAAGTCCACTGCTACATATTACAGAACAGTACGTACTTTTTGTTTTTTCCAAAAGTCCAAAGCAAACAGGGTAAAAAGGAAATTGGGGTTTTTAAACAGAGGCATCTAAGTCCTGAAAGATGGTTGGTGTGCATAATAATGCTGCAACAATTTCTATAAGTTGCCAACTTACAAATATACAACAAAAAGAAAAAAGAGGTGCCTAATTACCAAGTTCTTTATGTTAACTGCTTCTAAATATGATGCATGCCCCATTGGGATTTTTCTAAACTACGAATTTGTTATGGGAACGCGGTTGTACCGTGAGATTAATGGGTTCACCTTTCTCTTTTAGAGTGTTGATTAATCACAATCTAATATATGTGAATTCGAAAGGAAGATTGACGTACCTTCCTCATTGTTTAAACATCGTTGCTCCCATGAGTGAAACCCAAAATGATGATTGAGATGACTTAATTAGGAGAGACATGTTATTTGTTAATGCAGTAAGATATTTTGGTAATATTAATTATAAGAAAAAGGAGTTTTTAATACAAGACATTAAAGATTAAAGAAATGAAAAAGGATGAGGCAGAAGTATTTTTTTTTATATAAATAAAAAAAATAAAAAAATAAAGGAAGATACAGTTATTAAACAAAGGTGGGGGTGTGAGAAGAGGTCGGGGAAAAAAAACAGGGGGGGAAGAGTGTAGACTGTGGAAAAGTGAGTGCAGAGCAG